CTCCTCCATGTCGGGGGTTGCCGAGGGTGCCTTTGGCCTGAGCTAGCTTGTCGATGCCCCTCTTTGGGGCCCTCTTGGCCTCGTGAGGGGTGCTCTGGGGGCGGCGCGAGCCTCCCTGGAGAGTCCGGGGGCAGCTCAGACCTCTGAAGTCGTGATGCTTTCCACAGGGTGGACCCCAGACAGCTGCGTGGAGCCTTCTTCCCGCCGTGATCTCTGCACAACGGGCGGAGGTGCAGTGGGACGTTGGACCAGGGACACCCTTCGGCGTCGAGCTCCGAACCCTACTTTCGCCGATGAACGATTCGGGCAACTCGAGGGATGGCGGGGGCAGGATGCGGAAGGCGTCGAACACGTGGCGACATCTGAACCCTACCCGTAAGTCGGGCCTGTCCTTCCGCAGGAGGAATATATTCAAAATAGTAGAAAATAGTCTGGGGACGATTGTTGGACTATTTATTATATTTTTGTATCTTCTTCTGTTTCTTAGGAGGACATGCCCGACCTAACCCCCCTGTGGGAGGACATGCCCGACCTAACCCTGGCCTTGCCTCGCATCGATTCAGGAGAGAATCGATGGCTGGTGGCAGGGCTTGGACATCGCCACCGAACCCTCGGCGGCGCCCGAGCCATGTTCGGCGCCGTGGACCCCGTCGAGGCCGCGGAGGCGGCGGGTGCCGCCGCGCGCCCATTGGAGGAGCGAACGGCGTCGGCCGCGGCAGCGTCGGCCGCGGCGCCCGCGCGTGTCCGCGGCGGTGCGGCCGGGGGCGGGGCGCGGGTGCGGCCGCGCATGCGTCTGCGGCCCCGCTCGCGGCGCTGCCGCGGGCGGGCACTGCGCCAGCGCTCGAGCCGCAGGGGCGCGTCGCCCGCGCCCGCCGCGGCGCTATGAGGGAAACGGCGGGGCCCGCCATGGCAGGAGCCCGGGCCTCCCAGATCGGGACCGAGTGGAGTGCGGTCCGAGGATCGCACCGCATCGGCGATGCATCGGCGAGGTATCGGCGATGCGGCTCGATGTGGAGGCCGAGTTTCTCCACGCCGACGGTGGGGAGGCATCGCCGACGTGCGTCGCCGTCTATATCTGGACGCCCGAAATGGGTACGGAAAGAATGGGTACAATGCCCAACAGCAGTTCCTGCTCATTTTGAACAGGACTCGCTGTCGGTGTCGCCGTGGCCTGTGTACATTTGAGACAGAAGGCCACCTGCCCAACAGCGGCCGCTATTGGTTTGGGACAACATTTGCTGTTGGGCATTGCACCCATTTTTGTCCGTACCCTCTTAGGGCGTTCAATTAGGATGCCATTAATGGCAGGAGGAGGGCAGGGGAGTCAATATTGGAAAAAGGTGCCGATATACAGCGACGTAGCATCCCGCAATTGCGGATAAGAGTGAGGGGGCGGGCGCGGGCGACGCGGGCGTCGTCGAGCCGGCGGACCTCGTGGCCCCCACCTTCCCTGTCGATGGCGCTCTCCTCCTCCTCCTCCTCCTCCTCCTCCTCCTCCTCCTCTTCCTCGTCCTCGTCCTCATCGTTATCGTCATCCTCCTCCACCTCTTCTTCCTCGTCCTCCCTCTCCCCCCCTCGTCCTTTCATCATCGTCCTCCCATTGTCGTCCTCCCCCTCATCGGCCTCCATCATCGTCCTCCCATTGTCGTCCATCATCATCATCATCCTCCCCCTCCTCCCCCTCCTCGTCCTCCTCCCCCTCCGCCCCCTCCTCCCCCTCCTCGTCCTCCTGCTCCTCCTTTTTTCTCCACATTATCCTTACATCCTCTCTTCTTCCGCGTTCTCCTTGTCCCCTGTTTACTCCTCCTGCCCCCCCCTCCTTTCCCAAGAAAGCTGCAACAATCCTTTTTCCCACTTTATGCTCCCCGCCTTCTCTGCTCAAGGCAACTCGCCAGGGCAGAGTTGCTGGACGGGCTGGTGTGGATGCGCGGGGCTTGAAGAGGTCCTTGCGGGCTCAGACGTCATGCAAAAATCCGCCGCCGCGCTTGTGCGGCATTGGTTTGTTCAGTGAACGTGGTTTAGGTCGCGGGTGGGTCGCGGGCTCTCCACCTCCACCTGGAAGGAATGCAAAAGCAGCCCGCCGCAGGCGCCGAAAAAAATGGTTTGTACACTGAACGTGGTTTGGGTCGCGGGTGGGCCGCGGGTTCTCCACCGGGAACGAATGCAAAAGATGCCCGCCGCAGGCGCCGAAACATGTGGTTTGTACCCTGGGCGTGGTCGCGGGTGGGCCGCGGACTCTCCACCTGAAGCGAATGCAACAGATGCCCGCCGCAGGCGCCGAAAAATATGGTTTGTACCCTGAACGTGGTTTGGGTCGCGGTCTGGTCGCGAGTTGGTCACGGGGTGGGTCGCGGGCTGTCCACCTCGAAGGAATGCAAAAAACCCGCCGCAAAGCCGAAAATGGCGGTTTGTACCTTGAACGTGGTTTGGGTCGCGGGTGGGTCGCGGGGTGGGTCGCGGGTGGGTCGCGGGTGGGTCGCGGGTGGGTCGCGGGTGGGTC